AAAAAAAAAACTGGGAACCACTGAGGCAAGTGATTCCCTGTGAAATATTGCATGATCTTGGGCTGGTCTAGACAGTTCCAGATGGGAGTCTCTGATCAAACATTCTATCCGTGGGCCTGGACTCAATTCTTTCCTACACCCAGCAGTTTCCAAATTGTCCTCTCTCGTCTTCCTGAAACAAATTATTGGCTCTAAGCCTTTGATTTTCTGTACTTTTATATAATCTTCAAGTTCATCTTGAAAAGCGTCATATGGCTTCTCTGAATGCTTCATTAGGTTGACAAAAATGGATTCTCCTTGTCAAGCTGAGAACTTGGTGGCGAAATCTGATCATATATATCCAGTACTTGCTTTGGGTTTTTTGTTTGTTTGTTTAGCATGAATTTTCCCCTGAATAGTGTGACTGCAACAATCAGGGAGCTAAAAATCATGATGCAGATTACAAATCTATTTTTGTCCAACTCTCTACTCCTCTCCACCTCAGAATGTGGAATCTTTTCCTATTGAAATGGTAGCACAACTCCACAGGTGCCTTTTATGAAAAACATCTGTAAAAGGTTCGGTCTCCGTTCATCATGGTATTGAGAAATCGCAACTCTCCAGGGTGCTGAATTTCATTCCTTGGCAGGTCGTGGGCGCTTCTCTCTGCCTCTTCGACCTTGGGGTTTGCTCATCAGCCCTCCTCTCCTTTCTTGGTGCCCCAGATGCACAGACCCTGCCAGGCCACCTCTTTCTTCTTGCCCTCCATGGTGGATTCAGGCGCGATGCTCCTGGGAATATAGGCAGAGAGCAGGTGGGTCGCTTTCTTCCCTTCTCGCCCCAGGGCGGTTGACCTGGGCCTAGGCATAGACTGCGCTGGCCTTGCTGCCCACACGGCTTCTGGAATGCGTGACACAATGCAGGGCCTAATGTCCTCATTTGATGACCACAGCCTTGGCCTGGATGGGTCCTGTCTCTGTGCCCCTGTGTGTGTGTATGTATGTGTGTGTGGTGTGTGCAAGTGCCTGTGTCCACATCTATTCTCAATTCGCTCCCCTTGTTCACTGAGGCACGAGGGCCCTGACAGTCCCAGAGACAGCAGGACCTCACCAGGATCTCAGGGGCCCAGAAATCCCAGCTGCTCCACTGGCTGACAAGGACACACACAGGTTCATTTGAGTTTATGCATCCAACACTCTGTAACTACTCCCGAGTTTGGCCAAGACTAGTGTTAGGTAACAAGCCATCCCTTTCCTGGTTTTCTGTGGAAGGGATATAGCAAAGATGCTGTAAAATTAGTGTCTTTTTCAGTAGATGTATCATAAAGCCTTATCATTTTATACTCAGCTGAATTTTTAGGTGGAGAAATCTGGAGAAATACTGAAGGTAGAAGACTCTTACTATGCTGGGTGTAGAGGCACAGGTCTATAATCCCAGTAGCTGGGAGGCAGAGGCAGGAAGATTGCCAGGAGTTCAAGACCAGCCTTGAACATAGTGAGCTCAAGATCAGCTTGAACTACATAGTGAGACCCTGCCTCAAAAAAAAGAAAAAAAAAAAAGGCTTAGTATAATCCAAATCTAAATAAAGATAGGACTACACAGGAGGTAGTAGAAATTCAGACTCCAAATGCATTTCAAAGTGAGGAGAAAGAGGAAGTAGCAGAATGGAACTGGTAGGTAACTTCCAGGAAACAGGAGAAAGGTGGGTATTGATATAGGAAACATGTATGATAGGGAATATAGTAAAATGCTCATAAAGATGTTTTGTGAGTTAGTGACTGGAGGTAAGAATTTAGGGCTCTGCTGCAAAGAAAAAAATTCCACAATAGTCTCAGATTCTTCTTGTGTGTCAATCCCTATCAGCCAACTACCTGCCTGAGCCTTCACATGCAGAAGATCCCCAAATTACACCTGAGCTTGGAGGGAGGGGCGGGTGGGGGAAAAGCCCAAGTTATATCACCGAGAGGTACAAATTCTATGCGATCGTTATGCAAATCTAAAATGTACCAATGCAATCTAATTTTAAAAATAAAGAAAAAAACTACAGCTGAGCCCGGTTGGAAAGGTCTGGGATGGATCAGCCGTGTTGGTTCTGCTTCCTAGAGGCGAGAACAGCGCAGAAGAGGGGCCTCTCCCCTCACCGTGAGTGTCACTGAGAGCTCCAAGCTAAAGGGCAGGGGGTGGAGTGGGCATTCTGCAAGGGCCCTGGGCTGCTCAGAGTGAGGTGAGAAAAGGACCTAGACCGAAAATACAGATCTGGGAACATTCAGGGTACAGTATGTTAGGTACCAGGGGAGGACAAAAAGCCTCCATGAGGGTGAGAACAAGGTCATGAGGTTAACACTTCGGGAAAGATTTTGTTGTTTCAGGGAATGACAGCATGAATCTGTGAGGAATTATAGTCGATTTTTACGTATCACACAATTAAAGGAGGCTGGGCATGGTGGTGCATGCCTGTAATCCCAGCACTGGGGAGGCTGAAGCAGGAGGATCATTGCAAGTTCGAGGCCAGCCTGGGCTACAAAGTGAGCTCAAGGCCAACCTGAACTTCACAGTAAGACCCTGTCTCAAAAAGACAAAAAAAACCCCAAACAATTAAAGGATTATTAAGTCACCCCCTCAGCCTCCACTTTATGGGATAATTTATCACTGTATCTTATTAAAATCAGATCAATAATTTGAATAACAAACCTCAGGAGAAAAAAGAACTCTAAATTTTAATTTTTAATTAAATAAGAGTGTTTTCTAACCTTGTTGCTTTAAAATTATTGTTTTAAGATTTTTTTGTTTGTTTTTGGTTTTGTTTTGTTTTGTTTTGTTTTGTTTTGTTTTGTTTTGAGACAGGGTCTCACTCTGTAGCCCAGGCTGGCCTCGAACTCGAAGTGATCCTCCTGCTTCAGCCTCCCAAGTGCTGGGATTACAGGCATACATCACCATACCTGGCAAAATTATTGTTTAGCGCTCATGTGACTGTGATGTCAAGATGATGTTATTGTTTTCTAAAATTAATTTAAATTCATATTAAATTAAGTAACTCACATTCTACTGTAGAACTTTCATAGATGTAACATACAGATACATGTCTATAATTAGTGCATAAGCATAGCAGATGAGCTCTAATACTTTTTATGTGCCATAGTGAGAAAGAAGATGCCCCGGTCACTGTCTGACTTACAAATGCATCTGGTTAACAAAAAGCCATTCTCGAAAAGAAGCCTTCACGTGCTCTACAGTGGTGTGAGGTGGCTGTTCCGACCCCTTCATTCGACGCAGAGATGGGACTTGCGAGTGCACGCCGGCCCTTTAATGCCATGGCCCTTCCATCTCCTCCCCAGACAGAACCGGAAGGCCCAGCTCTGGCAGTTGAAAGCAACATGGAGGACAAGGGAGCAGGACCCCAGGTACCGAGACAGCGGAGCCCCTGAAGAAAGAGCAAGGGGTTAGATTGACCAGGGCTCCCAAGGAGGAGATGTATAAGAAGATTATGTTGGAGTGGAAGAAATTTGTTTTTGTTTTTGTTTTTTTGGGTTTTTTTTTTTTTGGTCTTTTTTGAGACAGGGTCTCGCTATGCAGTTCAGGCTGGCCTTGAGCGCACTTTGTAGCCCAAGCTGGTCTCGAACTAGCAACAATCCTCCTGCCTCAGCCTCCCAAGTGCTGAGATTACAGGTGTGAGCCACCACACCCAACCAGAATATTTTTATTTAAACCTTAGAAAACCAAAAAAAAAAAAAAAAAAAAAGACAGAGAGAGAGATGTTGATAAGAGGGAAAAAAAGATCAAAACTTTCTAAAGAGGTTGCTGTTACTACCCACACAACACCGTCAACTTTTAGTGTCCCAAACAAAGTTTAAATATGCTAATCAGGCTTAAAGTACCCCAGATGTTTTCATTATATAGACCAGTTAAATCTACAAAAGAGGGGCTGGGGATTTAGCTCAGCGGCAAAGTGCCTGCCTGGCAAGCGCAAGGTCATGAGTTCAGTTCCTGGTACCGGAGAAAAACCAAAAAAAAAAATCTACAAAAGAAATTGGAACAATTCTCAGAAAATACTTTTTAGAAACTTGACAAAGACAATCTGTAATCAGCATATACTACATTTGGAGAGTTTTTCATAGGATATGAAAGTAATTTCATTGTCAACCTGAAAACAATCTCTCTAGTGTGTCTTGCTTTAACGCTCCTTTCTTTTTTTTTTTTTTTTTTTGCGGTACCAGGGATCGAACTCATGACTTTGCGCTTGGCAGGCAGATGCTTATGCCACTGAGCTATATCCCCAGCCCTAACATTCCTTTCAAGGACATTATTTATTGATAATACTGGGAAGAGATTTTTGCTATTCAGTAACACTTGACAAACTGTTATCTACTCTTTTTTTGACAGGAGGAGTAAAAATACGAATTCATCATTCAAGAGCTCTCCTGATAATGTAACTATTGTGACTGCTAAAGATTAGACTCTCCTAAGGAATAAGGAAGACTCGGCATGCCCCTCATGGCGCAGAATCGCAGGAACAGCAAGAGGCCTTTTCCCCTGGAAAGTCTTTTCAAGCCACAGGTGCCCCGCAGCAATTACTTGCACCTTCTGGAAGAGAAGCAGAGACTGCAGCTGAAGAAATTCCTCCTGCACAGGATGTTTCTAGTGGCCAGCATACAAGCGAACATGGAGAAGAAAGAAATCGCCGAGTACTACGACCAGGTGTTTCAGTCGGTCCTGAAGCACCACCTGGGGGAAGTGGTGACGGGGATACTGCTCATCTACCCCAACTCGGTGCTGCACATCCTGGAGTCCTCCAGCGGCACGCTGTACCACGTCCTTCTAGATTACGTCACCCGGGAGAGGAGCAGGACAGAATTTTGGATTCAAAAGATGAAAATTATAGTCATTTCTCATCACATCCCAGCGAGACTCTTCATGCAGTGGTATGTCTCGGTAGTGAAAGTGCCAGTTCTGTATCTCGATGATGTGACACAGTCCCAGTCCCTGGAGGAGGTCATCACCGATTTCTTCATCCAGACACACAAACTGGCACTCTATGTTTTTAAAACTGTTAAAGTGGGCGGTAAAGGGCCAGGTGATAACTTGCACCAAGTTGCACCCGACCTGCTCCCTCAAGAACAAATCATAAAGTATCTGTGTAAATCTGAAGAATTCATGGACCCAGCGACATTCATAAACATGTATAACAAACCCTTGCACGTCACCTCGGACTCTGAGGTGGTGTGGCCCGCCCCCTCCAGCCTGTAGGACTGAAAGAGGTAATATGATCGGATCTCTTTTTTGTTTGTTTGCTTTTCTTTTTGTTTTTGTTTTTCTTCCAGTACCAGGAATAGAACTCACGACCTTGTGTTTGCCAGGCAGGTGCTGAGCTAAATCCCCAGCTCCATGCTCAGATCTCTTTATTTGTGCTACCTAAATAAAATTATTTCTAACATTACTCTTTCCTTTTTTCTTTTAAAAAAGGCTACTACCATATACACAAAGCTAATATGTTCATCTTTATGGAATAATATCTATTTGTTTTGATGTTGAGCTCACTACATTATTTTAAGGTGGATGGGTCTAATAAAATCACAGTAATGGGCTGGGGATACAGCTCAGCGGCACAAGCGCCTGACTGGCAAGTGGAAGGCACTGAGTTTGATTCCCGGTACCAAAAAAAAAAAAAAAGATGCATGAAAGCTGGGCATGGTGGCGCACGCCTGTAATCCCAGTACTCGGGAGGCTGAGGCAGGAGGATTGTTGTGAGTTTGAGACCAGCCTGGGCTACATAAGTGAGCTCAAGGCCAGCCTGAACTGCATAGCGAGACTCTGTCTCAAAAAGACAAAAAAACAAAACAAAACAAAATCACAATAAGTTTCACTCTTGTTTGTAGAACAACTCAAAACTTGTATTGATTAAATTTACTGCTGTATTTAAAATATACATAATGATCACATTCATCATAGGGACTTTGCCCTGTGTATGATGTGTCTTGCTTCCTCTTTTTCCCACTCCCCGCCCTTCCCTTCAGCCCTCTTCCCCTCCTTACGTACAGAAGCTTTGTTTCCATTTTCTCCCTTCTTTTCTCATTTTCCCCCCTTCTTTGCTTTTCCCCTCTCCCCTCCCTGGTTCCCCTTCCCAGTTGAGCATTTTCTTCCTATTTTATAATATCTAGCATGCATTCTGGTCCTTATTTATACTTTTGGTTTCTCATACCAGAGAAACAATATGATATTTACACATGTGTGTTTGATTTTTTTCACTTAAGAGTATGGTCTCCTCAGGAGGCTGAGGCTGGAGGATTGTTGTGAGTTTGAGACCAGCCTGGGCTACAAAATGAGCTTCAAGGCCACCCTGAACTGCACAGGGAGACCCTGTCTCAAAAAGACCAAAAAAAAAAAAAAAGAATATGGTCTCAAGGTGCATCCATTTACCTAGAAATGTCTCAGGTTTATCCTTCTTTGTGGCTGAGTAGTACTCCATTATATTAAAAAAGCACACATCTTTATCCATTCATTGGCTGATAGAAATTTGGGCTGTTAGCTGGGTGTGGTGGAGTACACCTGTAATCCCAGCACTTGGGAGGCTAAGACAGGAGGATCGTTCTGAGTTCAAAGCCAGCTTGGGCTACAAAGTGAGGTCAAGGCCAGCCTGAACTGAAGAATTCTGAAGTAATAAGAGCAAGAGCCTGTCTCAAAAACAGACAAAAAAAAAAAAAAAAAGAAAAGAAATTTGGGCTGTTTCCAAGATTTAGCTATTACAAAACGTGCTGCCATAAACATGGCTGTGCATATATTATTGTGGTCATATGTTTTTAATTCTTTTGGGAAGACACCAAGAAGGAGAATAGCTGGGTCAAATGGAGCCTTTAGTCCTACTTTTTTGAGGAATCTCCACACTGATTTCCCAAGTAGTTGTACCAGTCTACACTCCCACCAACACTGGAGAAGGATTCCTTTTTCCCCACAGCCCCACTAGCATTTGTTTTTGGTTGATTTCTTGATAATAGATATTCTTTCTGGGGTGAGATGGAATCTCAGCATTGTTTTAATCAGCATCTTTTGAATGACCAGTGACATTGAAAATTTTTTCATATATTTATTTGAATAACTCAATTTTTAAAGAGAGGACTAGATAAAAAAGGACAAACACAATTTAGATTTTCATTCATAGACAAGAATACATGGAAAAGCAGAAACACAGCCAGGCGTGGTGGTGCATGCCTGTAATCCCAGCAATCAGGAGGCTGAGGCAGGAGGATCGGGATCGTTGCAAGTTCAAGACCAGCCTGGGCTACAAAAAAGCTAAAAAGTGTTTTAGTGTTCAGGTTGAACACTAAGCCAGCCTGAACTGCATAGAGACCCTATCTCAAAAAGACTAAAATAAATAAATAAATAAATAAAGTTATCCAGTGAATAAAAGTAGTTTTGGGGCTGGGGATATAGAAATAAATAAATAAATAAAGTTATCCAGTGAATAAAAGTAGTTTTGGGGCTGGGGATATAGCTCAGCAGCACAGCGACTGGTTGGCAAGTGCAAGGTCCTGAGTTTGATTCTCGGTACGCCCCCCAAAAGTGCAGTTTGTGAATAAAAATCTATATTAATATACGGGAAATTATGGTCCTTTGGGTTTTCCCAAACTGGCCACTCCAATATATTCAACCCCGCACACCCTTCGTGTTACTCCGTTGCCTAGGTGGCTTCTAAATGCCTCCCTCTAAAGTCAGACTAGCTTTGAGACTGCCTGTCCACAGCGCCCAGCAGGAACGAGTCCTAAGACTGCCATGAATTTGGCCCTGCTCGCTTGAATGCAAACACTGTGCTCTACACAGTCCAGCGGTTTCCAGGCGACACTCCTGGTCCCCACCAACCACCACTCTCACCCACTTCAGCTGACCCCAGAATCTGGCCTTCCAGTTCACCCTGGATTTTCAAGACAGCCCAGCTCACACCGTGTGGGTACAGCTGAGTTTTCCCATTGATTCCTGCTGGAATTATCCATCTATGAACAACCTAAGTGACTTGATTTAAGTCATTAGGTTTTGGGTGGGTGATTATGCAGCAGTCCAGAATAGGGCTGTCCACGTTCATCTCTTACTCATTCCGTTCATTATGTACCTAACATTCACAGGGCAGCTGTTAGTAATTATTTCCCAGTGGACCAGTCACGGGTAAGTAAGATGTATATCTACCACCCTGCCTAACATCGATCTTCTGCTGATCCATAGTAATTTCTGGTATTAGCAATACTGGAAGAAAGTGAATTCATTAATCCAAAGAGAATAAAAATCAGAGTCTTTTTTGAAAGAACTTATGAAAAATATCTAAGTGGTTGCTGATTTACTTAGCACACTATAATTTTTAGTTTAAAGAATCCATGAAGTCTTAGCTATGAAAATAACTAAAACAGCAGGGCATGGTGGCGCACACCTGAAACCCCAGCACTCGGGAGGCTGAGGCAATGTAGCGAAATACTTCCAGGTTATTTCACATTGTATGAAATTATTTAAGGTAGAATCAAGAGTCCTCCTCCTTGTGGTCAATAATTTAAATTTCCGGGGGCTGAGGATTTAGCTCAGTGGCACAGCGCCTGCCTGGCAAGTGCCAGGTCATGAGTTTGATTCCCGGTACCGGGAAAAAAAACAAAACAAAAACATTTCCAGATTACCTGCTGATAGGATCAATACAATATACAGTGCAGATTTTAAGAAAATCCAGATAAAGCTCCCCCTGCCAAATGCCTTTCATGTGTCCACTTTCCTCCTCTTGTTCAGCAGATGAAAAATCTGAGAACTAAAGACATGAAGGCGTTTTCCCAAGAGCAAATGTTGGTACCCAAAGTCTCATTTTACTTTACCATATTCACCATACAAATCTTGATTGCTGTACAAGTAAGCTATCACTCCTGTAAACTTACTTTTTCACATATTTTAGAATTTTCACATTTTGTTATTTGGCCTTTTTTTTTTTTTTTTCAGGGTCTCACTTTGTAGTTCAGACTGGCCTCGAACTCAAAGTGATTCTCCTGCCTCAGCCCCCTGAGTGCTGGAATTAGAGGTGTGTGTTACCACATCTGGCTAAAATTATTACTCTTTAAATCTAAGGAAAATTTTATATCAGCTG